GAAATCGGCATACACAGAGTGCAGAAAACACAAACATAGGCCTGAAGAGATTTAAAAAAAAATCTTTGATCCACCACCGTTTCTGTTCATGTCTGTTTGAGAAAATGATAATTGTCATTTAGAAGATTTTTTCGGTAGAATAACTTATTACACATAGATCTAGGATCTTACAATTACACTATGTGCTTTCAAGTTAGGCTGAGAAACAGAACAGATGATTGGTCAAAAGAGGCCATTTCTCTCCTGTGCTGATAATAGATGTTTGCTTACCTCTATAAGAGCTGCTAGTGATGTTTTCCATCACTTTAATTCCTCCAGCAGCTAACACATTGGATATAAACATGAGTTTGGAATCTTTTAGATTGTATTGTTCTCACGATCAACAGGGTTTGCTTTGCAAGGTACCACAGAATTGTATCTAAAGATTGGCTTTGGCTGCACAGCTGAAACTGTGTTATCGTAATGATTTTTGAGCTGTCACATAGTCTGTAAGGCAGAAAAATTCAGGGGGGAGCGGGCAGTGCATCCGGAAAGCCGCTGCAGCCACAGCAACAGTTCAGCTTCACGTTCAGTCCAAAATTGTGCTCGGCTTGGATGTTTTCATTTTCTTTTTTTTTTATTTATAGATTTGATCATTTGCCCATTTGATTTCATAAAGGAAAACCTTGACGCGATAAAGCCGAGTGGAGCCCTGCAGGTTGTGAGCAGTCTCTGTTTCCTCTGTGACTTGATTTGATTTCATGCCTTGTTGGTCTTTGGTTTTATATCAGTGTGTTTCTACATTGCTTTGGTCAGTATGGAGTAAATCAGAACATCAGAAATGATGGCAACAAAGGCGAATGCATCCTAACCCAATATTAAAAAGCTTATGTTTCCATTTCAGCTTGTTCAAGTTTTGGGCAATAAATGGGACCCTTTTTTCAAAAATTTACCACAGCAACAGGGGAATATGAGTCATGTAAACCTACTCTTTCAACCCCTTTTCCAACTATCAACAAAAAAAACATTTTACCTAAATGTATTATTATATGAAGACATGTCACACTAACTTTTAGTTATTTCTCTGCATATTTCATTTGACTTGAGGTCGAGGAAGAGCGGATTAGCAACCCTTTAATCCATGCAGGTGGTGGTGTGGCCTTGAGCTATTCAAGTCCTCTCTCTTCAGTATGCAGGCCAACTTCTTTGGAGAATTGGAGCACACAACCGCTCTAGGGGGATTTTTAGCTAAATAAATAGACAAAATAAAAGAGCTGCAATAAGAAAGGGTTTTAGAGAGAAAGAGATGATATTAGCTTTGTGATTGAGTAGGGAGAGTGGGACTCCTGGAAGGAGAGGGAACGGAAAGCCATCCTAGGTGTAAGTGTTGTGGCATCTTGTGGTTCTTCCACTCTTAATTATCACGTCCCCCAGTGTGCCATCTCTCTTTCCGGCTCAGCCACTTTCTTCATCTCTTTTTCAATTTTCTAATTGCATGGTTTTAATTAAAGCCACACCGCACTGACAGCGAGTCAATTAAAAAGTCAAGAAATCGGCACAGATAGCAAAAGGCTGCAATTTTTGGGGAGGAGAGCTTGGTGGTATTTCCAATTTGTTTCTGTCATAATTCTGTAATCACAATTTTGTGAAGCTTTCAGGTGAAAGAAAAAGCTGCGTCTCTCCTGCATGATTAAGTGATATTTTGTCACTGGGGCTTTTATTTTGCTGTGGTAATGTGTGTTGAGGTTTGTATGTTCAGTGACATGTGTGATACTTCAACAGCTCCCCTGGATTTCTTGGATTCGTTGTATTTACCTTTCCAGTGTAAGCGCGGTTTGTTAGTTTGTTTCTTCTCTTTTTCATTATTGTGATTTCACATCCAGTTATGTTTCGTTAGTGTATCATTCCCTCCCTCATTAATACCAATTCCTACTCCCTCTAACTACTCAATTACAGATTTACTATAGCCTCATAGTCTCCATCCCATTGCGTCCATCTTTTTCTTAATAATACCACAGTCTCCTCATCCTGTCTTTTAATTAAGCATCAGCATGTGTGTTTCATCTGTGTCCTACCTCTTTTATATACAGAAGACTCTCCAGCCACATTAGGCCTGACTATTTGTAGATTAGATTTTTTTTAAATTGGGTAGTTGAAATAATGCCTCTGCCTTTAATGTGCTTTCCTGATAAGTGGGTCAGCTCAGATGGGAGTTATCTATTTCTGAGAGAAACGCCCATATAAGTAACTTTTTTGTGTATAACTCTTCCGTGACAAAAAGTGCTTCTTACAACACCAGTTTCTAGTCATTGCTTTAAAACCTATTATACATTACTATAATTTCCCATGTTCCTCATAAAGCTGCGGGATTACTATTCATTATTTACCCTCTCAATGAAACACTTTAGATATTTACTCTGTACAAGGAATTAATTACACATGTGCATTTGATTACTTCCCATAAAGCACAAGTCATTCTGCAGCTTCTAAGCACCAGAACTCAAATACAGAACAATGTCATGTCTTATTCTAAAACCTGTTGATGGGTTATGTGACTTTAATAAAGTTAGGATAGACTCCACATTGCCAGCAGCTAAAAAGATGTTTTGAGATGAAGATGGAACGAATAAACGCTTTTATATCAGCACTGGCAATTAAAGGAAAGGCTTGATCACTCAGTTCTGAGTTGATTGTAATTGAAGAAGACGAGGGGTTCCTCTTGTTTTCTGGCTCTGTCCTCCCAGTGAAACCTCTCTACCTTCCTGCTACTTGAACAGTAAACTCTCTTCCATTCTAGCCATCATTGAATGCATTCAGCAACTCTTCTTCGTTTGGAAATATTTCTTTCTTTCACAGTTACTCTGTTCATTTCACAGGCAGCCACCGCCACTCCAACTTCACCTATCATCCAAGGACTCATAACTCCCTGAAAGGTCGGGCTCAGACCTCCGCAGAGCGTTCTGAGTCAGCCGCAGGAAATCTTTGTTCATGATTTTTACTTTAATTGTTCCATCACGATATTGGGATCTAATAAAGATTCAAGGTTCGTGTCCATGTGTGCAAATCCAGTGGACACCCAGAACACACTGTCCTGTCTCAAAAAGGATTTTAGTTGAGCTGTGCTGACGCTTTGTGTGCATAGCCATGCGATGTGTGTTAGTGTGAATGTGGCCTGGCCGATGTGAGCAGTGTGAATGTGGTGTCACTGTCGGTCAGACTGCCACTGTTTTCATTTCTACTTTGGGAAAAAATAGCACAGATCTTGTATTATTCATTCTGCCAGTCACATAATAATCTTGGATGGTGCAAAAGCCCAGACACTGGAGAGATTTAGAAAAATATTGCTGGCGATCGTCTTTTTGTGGCGCTTATGTGCAGAAATGCAAGAACATCCCTATGCTTCCATGATTTTCAGCATTCTCTGTCTTGATCTTTCCACACCATTCACTGAAGTAATCACATTAGCTTCATCATATAAAATTTGCATATCCTGGACCTCCTGTAAGATAAAAAGAAAAAACTTAGCACTTTCATCCATGCACATGACCTCTTCTCCTTTTCTTAAAATGCATCTAAAGAAGTGTAATAGAACTTTCCCTTGTAGATCAATTTCAATCACAGTAAGAACATTTTAGAGGGGAAATAGAATTCCTACTAAAAAGGGCCATTAATAATAATGATACTATCTTGGAATATCTACAGTATCCGTGTGACACTTTCATTAAATGTCCTCTGTGCGTTTGAAAGATTTATTGAACAGCAGAACACCAATAAGCCTTAACACTATGACCACCCACCGAATATTCAATATGTTCTGTGAAGAAAAAAAGGCTCTGGAGAGAAAGTCATCTGAGGGTGTCCTGGCATTCCTTACAAAGCCATGTTAGCAAAGCACCCTCTGGGCTCTGTGGGTTGTTGAATGGGATATTTGTGGATTGGGCTTGATTCCAATAGATGCCATCAGATCCCATCAGATTTGTTTGTTGGGAGTTTGGATGTGAACAGCAGTCTGTTGAGTCACAACAAACTGCAGCAGTGGCAGACAATTATTCCATCATATGTTAACGTGAGATCCATACAAATGCCAGATTCAGGATTTCACCTCAGAATGCTGTAATTTAACAATACAAACTCAGTTTGTCAATGATTTGAATGTTGTGGCTGATTCTCATACATCTAACCACATATGTCATCTTCAATTTTCTTTGTTTTTATTTTATACTTATAAACTATGTGGTTAATAAAGGCTATAACCTCAAACTTAATTGAAAAAACAAAACTCAAGGCTGTGGTGTAAAATGAACACAATTCATAAACCAATCTTTCAGTTTCAATACAACATAGGAAGCTTAAGATATTGTGACACAATTTAGCATTTCATGAAAATATATTCACGTCATGAATTCGATGTCTGGAAATAGTTCAAATTGAGTAGTGTTTAGACTGGTTTCTGGGCTGTAAGAAGGGGAAACGCATCCCCTTTCTCATCGGATAAATGGATTTTTAGCTCCAACAAAGCTGGGTCATTTTTACCCTATTCAACGTTTGAATGATCTCCAAATAGTTTTCTTTGGATTATCAAAATTAGGAGTCACCAGGCGCGCGATGCTGCTAAATGCATACACGTAATTATTAAAACCAATAAAACCGAAGATGAGTCACATTAATTAATAAAATGTCTCCCCTTCAAAACCTGTTATGTTTTCTACACTGTGTTTTTTAAATAATGTTGGTTTTATGAGGTTTACTTACCTGTTCCAATGCATTCCAACCTTACAATTGGAACTGTAATATTTAGTGATTATACTGCACATACATTTTTTATGTGCACAGGAAGAGGAGGTCCATTTGTTGCAAACTCTTAGGGTTTAGCACGCAACATGTAATGGTGAGAGACACATTGCAAAGTGCAGGAAAGATAAAGGGGAAACGGGGTGGTGAAAAGCTAAATTTGCTGACAAATTAGATTTCAGGCTTAAATTGATGAAACGAAAAATATCCCCACATGAGAGTAGTTGTAAATGTGGCAATAAACATGTTGATTGCAGTTGTAGACATAAGAAGATATAGATTTTAATGTCTTTATAAACATTTTTGTACTGTTGCTCTTTGATGATAACTCACTGAACAACCTAATTATGGATAAATAAATAAAAAGATGACTAGGAAAACAATAGAAGAAGAAAGAGTTGGGTGAGGATCTGTGCATTAACAATTGGAGGCTTTGAAAACTATGAGATGAAAAATGAACAAATCACCAGAAAATCAAAAACTAAAAAACTCCTTACAGGAGGAGCAGGAAACCCTGTTATCATCGTTGATGTCGCTGATATTGATTTTTTTTTTATTGTTATACAGTAAATGATTAATATCAGAACTGTAAAATGTCCTACTGTCTCCATGGTTACTGGAACAGTTCACATTATTGATACAAACACCACCAAATTAGTACATTTGAAGGAGGCAGAAAAGCTCCACAAATACAGCAAGGTGTCCTTTCAGAGTCTGAATTCGACTGTTTCCCCCTCGTTTCTTCAGAAGCGATTGTCTCGGTCATAGGTCCTCACATCCATGGACAATCACATCAGTTAATGGAGAGGGATAATTCTGCAGATCTCAGTTCGACTCCATTCAAAATGTTCTTTCACTTCTTGATTGTGAGAGTCGTTTAAGGTACACACACCATTTTTTTTCATAAAGTCATGTTTTTGTATCCCTTTAAAGGTAACTGATGAAGAAAAAAAAAGGCGTTCCTCACATTCTCAGTATAGGGTTGTCCATTCTGAAGGAGGAGCAGTCCAATTCAACCTCACCCGAATACTGAGAAACCCATGTTCGAACCCTCATCTCTAAGGCTCCCAGCAGCCCTGCAGTAGGGATTCTTCTCTAGGTCCATTTTGTGTCTTAGGAAAATTAAATGAACTACAAGGTATAGATGGACTCCTCAATATTCACAGCTTGATCTCCCAGAGACATATATCGGTTTTCAAGCAGATGAAAATAGCAAACGGCCTCCTCATCTTGGACGGTTAGCAGCTTAATCTTCAGTTGCACAAAAAGAGAAAAATGTGATAAACATGTCAGAGAGAGTTAAGGGGAGAAATGAATGAAAGGCCGATGTAACAAAACGTTAGGTAGTAGGTTTTCAGGATTTCTCACAAGTTTTAAAGGTTGTTATCATTATGGCTGCAAACAATCTGTGGCAACAGATTTTTCTCCTGATGGCAAATCTCTTGTTTGATAATAGCTGATGATCTGCTAGCATGTCCACACTTTACTTCTCTGCTAATGAGATATGGAACCCATTGTTCTGAACAAAGCTGCAACAGAAAAATTCATTTGGTAGAAAGGACAACAGCAAAACTCAAACCGGAGGCTTTCAGGTTCACTGACTTCCCATTTATTCCTCTCTAACATACCACCTATAAAGGCTGAGCTAAGAATTAAAGCTCAACAGACACCATCAAGACTATAGTAATCTATCTTATGAATTTGACCTAACTGCCTTTCCCCCCCTATTTTTCATTGCCAAAACTTTGGTCATCTAAGGTCCAGCTGATTGATAAACAAAAATAACTAAATACATAGCATACCAGGATGTATGGCGCTGAAATAATACTGAAACTGGCAGTGCAAGCTTTGTTTGTATTCATCTTTTATCGTTCTCAGTTCTTCTGATTTTTGGGCTCTGAATCTTTCCCTTGCAGTTATCTAATGCTTTGATAACCGTTACAGCTTGAACAGTAAAGCTCCCTACGACAACATTTGTACAGAAAATCATAGTCACACACGCACACACATAAGACACAGGCCTCTCAGGGTGGGAGCAAGAGAAGGTCTGAGGGCTCTGCTTTTTTGTGGTTAGCATTTGTTCAACCCCTCTGAAGGTCAACGGAGAATGTAGTCTGTATGTGTTGCTATCAAGGCCATGAAAACAGCTTGGGCGTGTAATAAGTACTTGGATAAGGGAGCCTTGTTGTTGGCTTGCTGAACCCCACTAGGGGGGCGAACAGTGGTCCGGGGGACGCACTTTTGCTTCCTCCTCGTGACGTTGCCGTCTGGGGATGTATGGTCATGTTTCCCTCCCTCTGTGAAGTCTGGGGAAGAATCCTCTTTATCTGCCATGACCTCTTTCGAGTGGTGAACCTCGTTGTCTCCCTTTTCCTTGTTACGAGGCTTTGTGCAGTTCCGAGGACGCCCGGGCCTCGAGGGATGCGCTATGTGCGTCTGCCCCCCAGAGCCCACTGCTACTCCACGATTCATTGACGGATTCACGGTGCCGGATAAATTGTTAGTCTGAGCTCTGGACTCAGAGTTGGAAACGGTGAGTGAACAGTTCGGGAAGTCATCCTTGTGCAGCTCTTTGAGGTCTTTCCCAACCATAGGAACTGGTGCCTGGCAACCAACGGAGGATGTGGAGCCACGGAAACGCTTCAGCCATTCCCATAAGGACAGGGCCTTACAGTCACATGACCAGGGGTTATCGTTAAGACGTAGATATTCCAAAGCAGGCAACATGTCCAGACAATGCCCAGATAGCTCTATCAGAGAGTTGTTGAACAAGTAAAGGGTGGTGAGACGCTTCAGGTCGTGAAAGGCCAAACGGTCAACCCATTCAATCTGATTTTGGTGCAGAAGCAAACGGTCCAAGGCTCGAAGACCTCTGAAGGTGTTCTGATTAACACTCCACAAACGGTTTCCATGCAGGAACAAGTGGCTAAGGTTGTGGAGGTCCATGAATGTGTCATCCTGTAAGTATTTCAGATGATTATCCTGAGGAGACAGACATAGCAGATGTTTAGTCTTATGCATTCATTATTATCCCATAGCTACTTTTTGTTAGCATAACCCTACATTATATCTGCATATATAGCTGCAAGTTAGCACGATGCACAGTGAAATGCATTAGATCTGCTTTTGTAACTACAGTTACAAAAGAGGTATCTGCCAAGAAACCAGTTCTTGGACAGGAAGCACATTCCATTAATTTCAGAGCCATCCAGACTAACTTAGTCACCATCTTTTATTGCAGTTTCATCACGTTCCCTTGAAGTCGCTAATAGATGCGAAGGGAGGCCTTTGGTCTCAGTTTTCAGTGGAATGGATAAATAGTGTGAAACCATGTTTGTTGACTAATCAGATTATTGTTGATTTATCAGATTATTGTTGAGAAGTGCTTTCCTGTAAACCAAATGACATTAAAGAATGCAACAGAATCTAACACTGGGGACAGAACATCAACAGAATACAAGGACTAAAGTGTAAAGAAAATGCAAAACAAGAACACTGAACAAAGTATGAACCAAGACAGAAATAAACCTGAGCAAAGATGAAGAAACCACATGACAGAAAACCAACACACAAAAACCATGGACCCTGACAGGGTCTCATACATCTTAGCTCCGTGTCTCTCTAACTCATCCCTTCCCCTCTAGCTTTTTCTATGAGGAACTCGTCCGCTGTTCATGAGTAATAACTACAGCCTGACATCGGAGCTCTTGGCAGCTAATATTGCAGCAGTCAGCGTGTCACCGCATCAATGCCAAACAACAAACTGTTCACAGTTTTTGATGACATAGCAGTTTGACCCTTTGGAATTAAAAATGAGTGTTATGGTCAAGTTCCTCTTTTCAACACTGATTAGAAAAACCCTTTTACAAAAACAACAAACATGTCTTGACACAGCAACCTGCACTTCACAAGCAGTGCAGAGAAGTGCATGAGTTAACTTTAGCCTTGTCTGGGGTCAACAAATGTGACTTCACACACCCATCCACACAACTTTGTGTTAAAAGTATGGACGGAAAAACAATTTGAGTGAATATGATATTGTCAGGGACTCATCTCAAGTGATGTACAACAGGAAGTTAACATCGTTCACAGCATGTTACCACTGTAAGTATTCTGTGTGAAAAACATACCTGCAAGTAGAGATACTGTAGATTTCTCAGGCCTTGAAAGATATTGTTTGGAAGTGAACTTAGACCACAGCGGTACAAGTGGAGCGCGTTGAGTCGACTCAGCCCACGAAAAGTGTCTTCAGCCAAGGAGCGCAGGTGCCGGTTGTCTCCCAGGTCCAGTTCCTCCAGGAATGTGAAGCCATGGAAGGTGGATGGCTCAATGTACGTGATGTTGTTGGAGTAGATCCAAAGAGTGACGGTGTTGGAACTGAAATGGCCACGTAACAATCGATGGATCTTATTGTTTTGTAAGAAGATGCGTTCACTGTCAGGAGGAATACCATCAGGAACTGACAAGAAGTTGTGGGCTTGGCAGGAGACAGTGCTGGGAGCAGTGTAGCAGATGCAATGATGGGGGCAGGACCAGGACAACTCGAGCCCACAGAGAACCAGCAGGAACTCCAGTCCACAGCCTGCAGAGAGCACAAACACAAACACACGTCCGCAGGTTAAGCACACAGCAATAGAATAATGAGAGCATATGTCCCATTTTAGATGTTAAAACTTCCGCAATTCAAAACATATCCAGTTCTGTGCAAACGTACAGAGCCATGTCCAGCTTTTTTGGTACAAAACATTGGAAAAAAGTTCAGTTATTTAGTGAAAGAAAAACTATCTGAATAGATACGCAGTATATAAGGTAAAAATCAGAACAATTGTAATTTGATGCCAGCCTTTTAGTATATTGATCACATTTTGTATGACCATCCAGCATGACTATTTGAACCATGAAAGATGAGCTGTAATGTCTTTATGTAGTCTTTAGGAGTAGTTCTCCAGGCTTCTTGAAGGACATTAAAAGCTTTTCTTTGGATGCTTTTCTTTAGGATGTTGACTGCCTTTTGTTTTGTTCTCAGTCAAGAAGATCCCACATTGCCTCAATAATGTTGAAATCCAGGAAAGATAAGAAAACATTGCAACTAAAGTTGGTAGAAAGTCTGCAAAGTTAAAAAATAACTATTAACGTATAACTTTTACTATAACTAAGAGACAGAGATTGACATAACTGTTTGTTTACCCTCAGCAGTAAGGGGCTAATATTAAAATCCAATTTTATCTGCATTTCTCAATATTATATCCAGCTGAAGGCATAGAGTTTCCTGTATGCATGGACCCCGTTGCTCACATTGCATACTGATTGTGTTTGAGCCTGAAATACAGAATGTTCTGAAGAGAACAAACAATAACACCTGCTGAGCTGAGTCACACAATGTGTCGGCTCTTCCGATTGGATCATCGGTGCAGCAGTCATAGCTGATTTGACACACGTACAGCTAAAAATGATCTTTTCAATATTGTGCCACCTTTTGGAGGTGTGCTGTGAAGACTCCAATTGCTTCCCCTGAGTCTGCTGGCACCACTTCCTGATGAGATGAGGTTGTGATCAGTCGGTTTGCGTTGCTAAATGGGGTGTGGAATGCATATTTAATTTCGTAGACAGTTGCTCTGAGGCGCTTTCTGGAGCAGCAACATGATTCTCTAAATTCTTTAGATGTGGCTTAGTCATAGGTCTCATCCAAGATGAGGACAAAACATTAAAGAAGTAAATTCTGACTGACTGTCTTTTACTTAATTTATTATTCACAGCACAGTGCAGGCCGGATTTGCTGCCTCCAATCGATATGCCTCTGTCGCCTTTTAACCCACCCCTGTAATCCTGGGTCTTTTATACAGAAAATTCAGCCACGGAATAATTCAGCCCCCAGAGAAAAGCCTATTTATCTGAATCTATTTTCTTGCCAAACTGTGGCTAAGCTGTGACATTCAGCGTTTGACTCTACTGACCTTTAACAGTAATTCTCTGTGTCTAGTTGGAGCATGAAGCCGCGTGTCACCTGAACAGGAGAGCACTCGGATCTAATCCTATTTGTTAAACCCTGCCACTGGGCAACAATGGAAATGCATGCATCCTCCTGAAGCAGAAATGTGCTCACTAAATGAGGTGATTCTTCATGGTTGAACACTGTCAAAAGGTGGAACGTTACTGTGTGCTCGTGTCTGTTCGTACTCTGTGTGGGAGACAAGGTTGTTTTAGAAGACCACAGGATGCTAGAGAGGATTACAAAATGCTGCATTTTTCTATAGATATCAGATTTTCCTGTCATATCCTGTATCGGGACACAAATCTTTTTGTTTGTTACTGACTGTAGACAAAACCGCCTCACAACAACGACACAACAAGTAAGCATTTTAAGTATTTCAACATTCGCCATTTTCATAAAGGCGTATCCAGTACGGTACCCACTGACTCACTAAAAAATATCTTACATTACACTTGAGAAACAAGGATTTCCTTTTTTAATCAGACAAATAAGAAGAGACGAAATAAGTTTTACAGTCACTCTCTAAGGGCAGTTTTGCATTAAGTAGCCTCCTAAAGGTAACCGCAATGCAGTTTCCTAATTATTCAATTTCGTACTACAGTAGTTCACATTTGATTGGGCTAATGACCTTTGTGGAGGCACACACAAGCAAGCTTGTCTTTTGTATTTGTTCCCAGAATAGATGATTAAATTATCTATCCCCTGTCTTAGCAGGAATTTGTCCAGTATAAAAAAATATCACTCTCTCAACAAGCATTTTTTTTTTTCCAGACTTGAACCTTCTTTACTTCTTGAACGTCTTTAATAGAATTAGGTAGCAGATTTCAAGCAGAAAAGTTATCTGAGCAAGTGAGAGGCAGCCAGCGATAAGCGTGAGGCACAGGGAAAAGCAAGGGAATGAGAACGTAGATGCTGCCTGGATAGTGAAACAATTTGAAACAGTGATCTGCTAATCATGTTGGACACATAAGGATGCGCCTCCTCTCCTCACTTGCTTCGGCTTGTCAAGACATTGTAATTGATTCTTCACCCTGCTAAATGTGTTCCTGTAAAATGGCTTTTTCAATGTTTTTCCCAGACACCATATCCATTTGAGGGGGGGAGGGGGGGCAAAAAGAGCATCATGGTAAATGTATCATTTTCTTCTACTCATTACAGTGAACAAAAAAAAAAAAAAAAAATTCAACTTCATCCCAGACGAGGTTTTATAGGACATGAATATGTGATGGGGAAGCTCTTTGTACATGCAGATTGAGAGCCAAGGGAGCACTAAACATCCCTCTCCTTGTGTACAGCCACACTCGGAGCATGTGTACACTCCTTTGCAGCTGGCATCAGATTCCCGTCCACAGGAGACCCGAGCAGCTCACTGATTCAGCATCCTGTGGACCTGCAGTTCTAAACGGATTAAAACATATACATTTACGTGCATTCACTCACAAAAAGAGCAAAATGCTATATGTGTTTTTCTGTGCTGTTCGTGTGTGAAAGTGTGGGTGAGCTCCCTGTATGTGCCATGAGGGCACACATCCTCAAGTGCCAACACATGAATCAGCCTTACAAGTGAATGAGGCGGCCTGCGACAGTGTGACAGCACAAAAAAGCTGAATGATGCTTGTTTACAGAGCTTTGAATAGCGAGTCGTTTTTAGCACAGAGGGAAAAAAAAGTATTATGTGGGAAGGCTGTCCTTAAATGAAAATGTAAAAAAAAAAAAAATGTCTATCATGACAGCATTGTAAGCTCAGACAATAGGCCATTCAACACAGATTGTATTATCTAAATAGGTTTGGATGCAAAAAAGCATGTATATGCCAACAGTGCCTTTTGGAATTTGGCATAATAAAGTGAAGGCTCTAAGAGAGAGATAATGCGTTTTTGGATAGGGAAAGGCGCAGCTATTTGTGGTAGGAGTTTGGCTTGTGTATTAACACTCTTGTCACAAGTCTTACACCTCCAAGTCTCCCCCCATGAAGTTTTGCATCTGCCTCCCTTTCCCCGCTCCACGGATTGCAGGTGACAGAAGGTATTGATGCCTCCTCACAGGGACAAACATGTTTGACCCTGTGACCCCATTATCACCAACTCCCCATTTTTCTTTGGGAGTGTAAAAAAGGAAGTAGATACATAAATGAATAAAACAGACTGTTGAGGGTCCCCTGGCAGACAATGAGAAGGAAGTGTGTAGAATATCAATGAAACATAGTTCACACTAGATTTGCCCTCATGAATAACACATCTCTGTTAATAGGAGAGAAATGGTACGTCTGCAAAGCTGTGTGACTCGGCCCATCATTAGTCTGGACAAACTCAATTTCCTGTGTCTCTCCAAAGACCCTGATAAGCACTCTGTGACTCTGGTGATTGTCATTGGTTGGCTCTAAATAATGCCCAGATTCCCTATCATGTGTATGGTAGTTGATAATGTCCAAGCGAAATATATAAACAAAAACAGGACGTTGATGAAATAGTTTTTCCTCTGGGAAGTATTGCTTAAAACTTGGCGGACTAAATGTTAAGGCTGTGTATCTTTTCACACTATTCATTCAGTATATTCAATGCTGATCGATATCTGAATCAGACAGAAATGACTTGTTTTTGGATTTAAACAATACTCAGCAGAATAGGTTGGTGGCTGTTGTCTTCATGCAAATCCGAAAATGTTGTCTCAAAGTCTGGAAGATACTCACTGTAGCTTTTGGCACAGCAAAATGGCTTCAGTGGTAAGAAGCAACCCATGAAACCCCAAGACAATGATGTGCCATAAAGTCAAGGCTGCTAAAAAATCCCTATGGCTATCTCCTATGAAGGGAAAATAAGATTAATATGTACTGACAGCTGTCCAATAGCCATCCTTCTGAAGGAAAGTTGTGTTGTCAGCCTAAATTAATCAGAGATGTGAAGGTAAGCTAATCAACTACAAAAGTACTGTATCAGCAGTTAATAATGGTAGCATAATTAATAGCAAGTGTAAAAAGTAGTTTATCATAAAAATTTAAAGGCTTATTAGGGCATATTTGAGTATAACATCAATTGACAGTAAGACAATAGAAATTGTGACATATTTGGGTATTAATAAAGGCAAAACACGCTGAATAAGCTTAGAGTGTGAAAAAAATTGGTTCCCTGAAATTTCAAGCATAGGTTACTGATTGCACACCATTAGCAATTTAAAACAACAACAACAACAACAACAACAACAACAACAACAACAACAACAACAAAACAAAATATTACAGACATTCAATCTTCAGAGTCAAAGAAAAAGATCAGCATCTTCCATTAGACCTGCCTTCCCGTTAAAGGTCCTGTTTCTGAGTAGAAGACTCACGACCATCCATACCAACAGATCTTACCAGCAAAACTAAGCTTTAGATATTTGTTTTAGTTTAGTTTTCATCTTTTTTGCACTTTCCTGCATAACATCATATTGTTTCATTTGTCATCTCTCAGTCACACTGCAGGCAATATTGCCAATGGATGCATGAAAGGAAAATGGGTAATAACAATGGCAACGATGAGATGCTTTGGGAATGCAGCAGAATGGAAATATTTAAGACCTGAATACATATATGGAGTCACTGTAATATA